TAGTAGTAGTAGTACTAGTACTAGTAGTAGTACTAGTAGTAGTAGTAGTAGTAGTAGTAGTAGTAGTAGTAGTAGTAGTAGTAGTAGTAGTAGTAGTAGTAGTAGTAGTAGTAGTACTAGTAGTAGTAGTAGTACTAGTACTAGTAGTAGTACTAGTAGTCGTAGTCGTGGTCGTAGTCGTTGTCGTAGTCGTAGTCGTAGTCGTAGTCGTAGTCGTAGTCGTAGTCGTAGTAGTAGTAATAGTAGTAGTAGTAGTCGTAGTAGTAGTAGTAGTAGTAGTAGTAGTAGTAGTAGTAGAAGTAGGAGTAGGAGTAGGAGTAGGAGTAGGAGTCGCAGTAGTAGTAGTAGTAGTAGTAGTAGTAGTAGTAGTAGTAGTAGTAGTGGTAGGCGTAAGCGTACATGTAGGCGTAGGCGTAGGCGTAGTCGTAGTCGTAGTCTTATTCGTAGTCGTAGTCGCAGTCGCAGTAGGGCCCCCCCTCCTGACCACGTTCTCCGGCCTTCCACTCCAGCGCTCTCATGCCGCCCGCATGCCCTACCCAGAGTTCCTTTGCCTTGGCGCCCGAGACCATCCCGCTCTCTTCGTCGTCGTCGTGTCGGGCCCAGAGGGGCCTCGGGAAAGGCCCTGGGAAAGAGCCCTGCCTGGGGACGAGGGTGTGCTTGCACTTCGGGGCTCTTTCTTGTCTTACTCTTTTTCGGGTGCCGTGGGCGCCTCGTGGGCGCCTCGTGAGCGCCTCGTGCTCCCGGTTGGTCAGCCGAGGCTTCGCCTGGTGCCCGTCCGTGGGCGCCTCGTGGGCGCCCACGGTTCTGTTTGGAGCCCGCCCGTGGGCGCCTCGTGGACGCCTCGTGCGCCGAGGTTCTTTTTGGAGCCCGCCCGTGGGCGCTCGTAGGCAGGCCCCGTGTTCTTCCGCCACTTGACCCCGTGATGGCCCACCGAAGCCTCGGGGTCGCCAGATTGGCACGAGCCAGGCATGGGTCTAGCGCGACTTGGAAACTCCTCCTGCTGTTTGTAGTCGCCTCCACGCTGCCCCACATGAACCTCATACTTGCCCCTGGCTTCCTAGTGGCATCCCAAGGGTCGGTTCATCACAGCCTCATAGCCCTTCGCAACGCCGCTTGGTGTCAACCTCACGGACGCGGATAGGAGTGAGGGGACCCGTCGTATTCATCATGTTGACATGTAGTGAGCCCATCGTAGACCCCAACAAGTGAGCTATTGTCTCTTATGGGGTGCGGTCGTTGTGGTGCCATTCGTGTAGGGCACCGCTTCACACTTCGCGTATCCCCACCAGCCAATTCAAAAACCATGCCCATGAGATTTGACGGGAAATGGGACGACGAGACACGTGGCCTTGGAGGGCCTCTTTGGGCCATCCCTGGGGCCCGCGTGGGGGGGAGGGAAGGAGGAGGAGGAGGAGGAGGAGGAGGAGGAGGAGGAGGAGGAGGGAAAGGAGGAGGAGGAGGAGAAGGAGGGGGCATCGTGGGAGCCTATGGGGGCACTTTTGGGGCATCGGGGCGTCCTCGACCATCTGCGGCGGCGCCAAGGCGGCACGCCCCCGTCGGCGTGGCGGGCGAAAGCAAGGCGCCAACGACATGGCCGGGGCCTGGCGCCAGCTCAGGCACCGGTGACCTGTAGGGCACGGCAGCCCCACAGACGCTGAAGCCCTAGCCCACGCCCACGCCGACGGCCGCACCCACACCCTCGCCCACGCCCACGCCCACGCCCCACGCCTCACCCACACACACCCAGACCCACAGCCACAGCCACACCCACACCCACGCACAGCCAAGAACTCACCAGCACCCATGACCCCCACGCCCACGCTCACAGACAGAATTCTCCAGCGAGAAACGACAGGAGTATGAGATACACACATGCGAGCTCCACGCAGTGAGTAATGTGAGGCTACTTTAGGGACCCCCGAGCTCCTGCAACCCCGCGAGGATTCTGCTGAGTAGTGGGGAAGAGGCGAAAAATTATGGCGGGGCGGGAGGGGCGAGGAACGGCGACAGCTGACGACATCGGACGACGAACGGACGACGGATCACGACGACGACGCCGACGACGACGACCACGACGACGACGACGAGGACGAGGACGACGACGACGACGATGACGACGACGACGACGGAAACGACGACGACGCCGACGACGACGAGGACGACCGCGACGGCGGCGGCAACGATGACGACGACGGCAACGACGGCCACGACGACCACGGCGACCGCGGCCGCCGCGATCCCGAGGACTCGAGTACCAACGTAGAGCGAATTGTATTTTTTACTGGGGGTGCGAGTTTTTTTCAGGCAACTTGAGAGAGCCCTGGGGCTCCGGGGGCCCCGCGCGAATTGTGTTCATCAGCGAAAGGGGGGCGGGAGGAAGAGGGAGGGGAGGGCAAGGAAGGACGACGACTGACGACGACTGGCGATGGGCGACAGACGACGACGACGACGACGACCACGACCACGACGACGACCACGACGACGGCGACGACGGCGACGACGACGATGACGACGACGACAACCACGACGACGACGACCACGACGACGACGACCACGACGACGACGAAAGCGGAGACGACGGTGGCGGCTGCGACCACGACGACGGCGACGGCGACCACGACGACGACGACACCGACGACACCGACGACGGAAAACCGCTCTACGACGCAGCATGGGGAGGGGGTGACGCCGAAAGACATGCAAAGTGCCCTGAACGGAACAGCGGGGTCGGTGCGATCAGGGTATGTCTCGGTTCGCTTGCCGCTGGCCCGAGCGGGTGGCTTGGCGGGAAGCCCCCCCGCCGTCGCCTCGCGAAGTCCGCCAGACCCAGGCGCGAGTCTGTGGCTCTTCCGCGAGCCCCAGGCGCGACGCGTGGCGTCGCCGCGTTTTGCTTTATCGTTTCGGCCAGTTTCCACTTGGCGCCGCGCCCTGCCCCGCGCGCGTCGTCCTCGCAATTCCGCCGCGTGCTTGGGCTCGCAATCGCCGTGCGCCCGCCGCTGGCCCGAGGGAGCGCCCCCCCCCCCGCCCTCGCCTCGCGAGTCCCGCCGGCCCAAGGCCCGCGGGCGCCCACCATCCCCATGCGTCGCGCGCACGTCGCCTCGTTTTGCCGTTTTCGGTTCGGAAACGTCCTCGCTGGCGCAGCGGCTCCCTTCGCGTGTCGTGCGCGCGCAATTCTGCCCCACGCGTTCGCGCGCGGTGTCGAGCCGCCCGCCGCTGGCCTGGGCGGGTAGTCTGGCGGGGCTTCCTCTGGGATTGCCGTGCGATTCCGCGCCTTCCGCGGGGTCTCTGGGTCCCCGCCGCCTCCAGGCGCCGCGCGAGCGTCGCCGCGCATTGCCGTTTTCGGCTTGGCCACGGGGGGGGGAAGGGGGGACTGCGGAGAGGGCTTCTTCGACTTGCGCCTCTCGTGGGGGGCCCAAATCGGCGGCGGCGCCCGCTGGCAACGAGCCCCCGTGTCCGATCCAGCGCTCAGCCGACGTCCCTGCCGTGCCTTGCCGGGGAGGTGGAGGGCGAAGCGGGGGGCCCGATTGCGAAGCAGGATGAGGAGGGCTTCCGGGCGGGGATGGAGGAGGGAGGGGGGGCCGCAAGGGGCGGCAGAAGCGGGGGACGAGCCTGTTGCGACGCGCCGTAGCCGATGCGCGGCGGATTCGAGTCGCGGCCTTCCAAGCGAAGGATCCCCCGTGCAATGGGAAACGGTTTGTTGGCAGCGGTCCGCGCGACCTTGCGAACGTCCTTTTGTCGGATGAATCCGTTTTGCACGTGGGTCAGAGCTGACTCTGCCTCCGCCCCTCCCGCGCCAGGCGTTTCCTCTCTTCCTCTCGTGCGTTGCGGCCCAATTCGCATGTGTGTGCCCTGCATTTGCCGCGCCCGCCAGCGCAGTCACTCTGCCTAGCCGCCGAAGCAAACAATGTGTGTCAGAGATCGGATTTGGATTCTTGGGTCAACTCCCGCGCAGTTTTTGCGACCACCGACCCAAAGTCTTCACAATTTCCGCTGCCAACAGGTCGACCTCAAATCTGTGTCATGCACCCGACTACCAGTCTCGCTCAGTCTCTTGCTCGAAACCTGCTGGAAGTTTGGCACCCCGCAGAAAATTCCAGGGCTTCGGGAAGGGCCACGCGACGCACCCCGAGTGCCCAAAAACACCGGACATAATTGGAAGTTTGGGCAACATATATATATATATATATATATATATATAGCTATATATATATATATATAGATTCGCAATCTAGTGGCCTTCGGCCCATCCCGCCACCGTGCCTTGAGATGCCTGTTCGGGTCTCTGGGGTGGCTTGTCGGAAACCGTTTGGATGCTGTTCTGAGGGGCTTGGGGGGCCTCTGGGGGGAGCTCTGGGTGGCCGGATCGGTTTTTTTTGGCTTCTTAGTGGGCCTCCTGGGGCGTCTCGGGGGTCTCAGCTGGCGGTCTTGGGAGTCATCTTCGGGCGGAGTTCTCGAGATGTCCGTTCGTGCTCCTCTTGGGGCCCTCTCGGGCCGTCTTGGAAATCTCCTGGGCCGTCTCGGTGCCCTCTCGGGCCGTCTTGGGCCCCTCCTGTTGGCAAGACGAAAACGCTAAGATCGGTCGAACATGTGAGGTTCATCGATCAGTGTTGCCTCCTGGGCCTGTTTAGGGGGTCCACTTGAAGTCCCCCCAGGAGTCCAGGAGGCTTCAGGGGCCGTCTTGAGACCGTCATGGGCCGTGTTGCGGGCGCTTCGGGGCCCTCTTCGCCCGTCTTGGGACCTTGTGCCATATGGAAAAGTCATGTGGAAGCCCCGCGGTGTCTGCGGCAAGTCCTGGCCGCAATCGGGGTTGTGGCCTTTTACAGAGCAAATGCATTCAATACAGAGAATTCGACGGGACCTCAGGACGCTAAATTCAGTGCCTCGCGGCACGGTGGCTGATATTCTGTATTGGAGGCTCTACGGGACTTGATGCCACTCCGCTCAGTGCCAGTGGCACGGTGGCGGACATCCAGAGGCACATGAATGCTGGTTTCCCCCAAGCTGCTCGGACCTGCAAGAGGCATCTTCTAGGTTCGAAGCCCACAGCCTTTTTTGGCTCGAGGGCTGACATCAGGTCAGAGGCTAGGCGCTCTGAGGGCTTACATCGCGGAAGGCCCCCCCGCTGCAGGCCAGCGCACCTCAAGCGCAGACATGGCGATGCCAGCCGAGTATGTGGGCAAGGATAGTTTCTTTGGAGGCACTCCGCCGCTTCCGCAGGCAGCCGGCTACGCGATCGTCCTTGGCTTCGGCGCCTTCTTCTCGGTGTTAACGACCATCATGGTGTACTTGGACAAGACCGCCAACGGCACAGTGATCACCTCGGAATTCTTCAACACCGCCGGCAGGAATGTGAAGACGGGGCTCACAGCGTCGGTCATCGTATCGCAGTGGACCTGGGCTGCAACGCTGCTGCAGTCCTCCAACGTGGCCTGGAATTACGGCGTGTCTGGCCCGTTCTGGTACGCCAGCGGCGCCACCATCCAGGTGCTCCTGTTCGGCATCCTCGCCATCGAGTTGAAGAGGCGGGCGCGGACGTGCCACACGGTGTGCGAGCTTGTGTACGTGCGTTGGGGCAAGGCCGCGCACTTGACCTTCATCTTCTTCTGCCTGCTCGCCAACGTGATTGTGACGTCGATGCTGCTGCTGGGCGGCGCGGCCACCGTGAACGCGCTGACGGGCGTGGACACCGACCTTGCCTCCTTCCTCATCCCGTGGGGCGTGATCTTGTACACGGCGGCTGGCGGCCTGAAGGCCACGTTCATGGCCTCCTATCTGCACACGGCAGTCATCTTTTTGGTCCTGGTGGTCTGTGTATACACCGTGTACGTCAAGGAATACTCCTCGAATATCATCTACGACAATCTGCAGGCGATCTCGGGCATGAGCACGGCGCAGTGCGAGACTCGCTTCTCTGCGGGTGGGTCAACCTTCTACGAGGCGGGGAGCTACTCGTGCGGCCCGGTGTTAGACAACAACGACGGCTCGTACTTGACAATGCTCTCGCTGGGCGGCCTCAAATTCGGTATCATCAACATCGTCGGCAATTTCGGCACCGTGTTTGTGGACCAATCCTACTGGCAGTCCGCCATCGCAGCGAAGCCAGCCAGTGCGCACAAGGGTTACCTGCTGGGCGGGCTGGTGTGGTTCACCATCCCGTTCGCACTGGCCACCTCTCTGGGTTTGGCTGGTGTGGCGCTCGGCTTGCCCATCACCGCGGCCGAGGCTGGCTCCGGCCTGGTGCCGCCGGCCACGGCCGTGCACCTCTTCGGTGACTTCGGAGCCGTGATGATGGCCACCATGCTCTTCATGGCCATCACGTCCACAGGCTCCGCGGAGGGCATTGCGGTCTCCTCCTTGATCTGCTACGACGTGTACCGGCGGTACATCAACCCGAGCGCAACTGGCGATCAGATTCTCAAGATCTCCCGCGTCGTCATTGTGGTCTTCGGGCTCGCCATGGGTGCTCTCGGCGTGGCCCTGAACCACATGGGCTTGAACCTGGGTTGGGTGTACCAGTTCATGGGCAACGCCATCGGCTCCGCGGTGGTGCCCCTGTGGAACGTCCTGATGTGGAAGGACGCCAACGCCATGGGCGCCGTTGTTGCCGCGTGGGGTGGCATGATTCTCGCGCTGGCCACCTGGCTGATCATCTGCCAGGCTGAGTTCGGCGAGATCACGGTGGACAATCTCGGCACCCTCAACCCTAACCTGGGGGGCAACATCGTGGCACTGGGCTCCTCCGCGCTGATCCACGCGGGCTTCTCCTTCGCCAGCCCGCAGAACTACGATTTCGAGTCGATGGGGCAGATTGAGATGCTGGAGAACGACCAGTCTGGTCTGGACGAGGCCGACTACACCCCGGAGTTCCTGGCAGAGGCCAAGGCGTGGATCACAAAGTACGGTTGGGGCTTCACCATCCTGATGGTTATCGTGTGGCCCGTCCTCTCGCTCCCGGCCGGCGTTTTCACCAAGGACTACTGGGCCTTCTGGGTCTTCATCAGTATCGCCTGGGCCTTCATCGCCACCATTACCATCATCGGCCTTCCGCTGTACGAGTCCAGGGATGCCATCCTCGGCGTCCTCATGTTCATGGCGGGCAAGAAGAAGGCGGAGAAGGCGGAGAAGGCGGAGCCGGCGAAGACCGATGAGACCAGTTTGTGAGAGGATGGAACAGGGTAGGGGGGGAGGAGGGAGGAGCGAGGAGCAATGCAGAGGACGGAGCAGGGAGGAGAGCCACTCTCTTTTGACGTGCCCGCCGTTGTGCGAGCCCCGAGCCGCGCTTCCACGCAGAGCCCCCGCAGACACCGAGCTACCAGGAGGGCACGGCGCCGTCGGATGAGAGCCTCAGGGTCGCATGAGCAGGGCCCACGTCGCCGTCGGCAGTCGTAGCTACTGATTCGGGGTCCGCGCGTGGGGCCGCTAATTCGGTCGTGCTCGCCCGATGTGATGTCGGGCGGAGGGCGTAGAGCGCGCCTCCTGTTGAGCCAGCTATTCGGGGCT